GTGTCCTGCTACAGCAGCATCGTATGTTCCTAACATCTATGCTGCACTGTCGCTTTGTGACATTTGGAAACCCAGGCCAGGACCTCAGGATAGATCTGAGCTGTAGCTATAGATATGTGGTTCATCTGAGGCCAGGGGAGGGCTAAGGACCTGTAGAGAGCCAGCTAGGGAGTGTTTCTGGTGTCACACCTGTCCTTTCGATTAATGATCAGGTGTAAGCACATCACTGATGCACCCCCAGAGTTGGGGTGTTATAGAGGACAGACAACAGGCTGTGCTTAAGCATCACTGCTCAAGGTCCACAAGCTGCCCGCCCCCCGCCCCCCCCGCCCAGGGTGCTTTGCCCAGAGGAAGGGGAGGCAGGACAGCATGGGGTGGACAGCATAGCAGCTTCAGGCTGAGCCCCCACGGAGGCAGGGAGAGGGGGCAGATCCCCCCACCAGCGAGCCCTCCAAGAGGCCAACCTAAGGCAAGGAGGGGTGGCAGGCATGCATGTCAGACTTGCGGATGGTCTGAAGGACAGGAATCCGAACTGTTCTCCAAGAGACTGCCCTGGTAGGACTTCTCTAAAGCTTACTCTTTCCTAAGGGCTTAGTGTCTTAAAATTCAGATAAGCCCAAGTCATAGAAAGCTGATGCCCTAACGGATAGCACAGGATATCTAACTGTGTTCCCATTTGCCAGATGAGAAAGTTGAGGCCCAGAGAAAAGAGTGACTCGGCCAAATTGCTCAGTTACGTGTTGTGACATGACTACCACTTGTCTGTCCTAGGATGACAAACCAGATCTAATGGACGGACACACCGGCCGCCTCCACCTAGTGGGAATGTGTAGCCATATAACCTTTGTTTACTTCAGAAAGGGCTCCCTCAGGATGATGGTCAGCTTCCTTCCCTCTTGCAGGGCAGAGCCCGTTGGGGGTGCTACCAAAGCTTTTCTTTAGAGGTCTTTCACTCCCTTGGTTAACTGCAGTCCTGTTCTGCCGATGAGATGTATTGAAGTCAGAGAGTTCTGGAGGTGAGCAGAGGGCAGAATGGTGGGCAAAGCTCTCAGCCTGAAACCTGAAAACCTTTCTGTCACCGCTGGCCCTCTCTGCTGTCGCCACTCCTGTTCCAGGAACCCATCTGCCAGCACAGGGGAGAGCGTGTGCACCCCGACGCCGTGCTGCAGAAGGCTAACATCCTGCGGGGGCTTCGCAGCTGGGGCTCAGCACATAAATAAGCAGAGCATGTGGCCGCTGGAGACTCCCAGGTGAAGGCAAAGCAGCTCCCTTCGTTCTTCCACGCCCTTGCTACTCAGCAGCAGGATTCCTAGACCAGCACCAACAGCATGCCCTGAGAGCTAGCTAGAAATGCAGAAATCTCTGGCCCACCCAGACTTCCTGAGTTGGCATCCACTGTGATTCCTAGGAACGGTGCAGGAGGGCAGGACCATGGTCGGCTCCTCTTCCTCAGAGCCACCTGCTTTTACTGCTGGGCTCAGCATAAGATGTCCAGTAACTTCACCCACCTCAAATGCAGCCAGCAAGCCCTGAAGGCCCTCTTGCTTCCCCCAGAACCTTCAAAAAGACAAGTTAGGACCAGAAAGTTAAGTGATAAAGCTCTTAGCTTTACAGGGCAAATACTCAAGACTTCTCCTGGAGACAGAGGTAAGTACTCAAAAGCAAAGTAGTTTGGGGCTTTTGCTTTGGGGCAGTGACACCCCATTGCTGCTATACAGAGCTGATATCTGATATCATAGAGATGACTCTGAGGGATTTAACATGTTATATTCCTTATTCCCAGATTATTCAAGGACCGACATTTGGCTACATCTTTGAAAGTCCTAGGAAGCTAATTTATGTGCAGCCACCCCCACCCCCAGTAATACCTGATACATGAGGTGGTTTTCTGTCTCCATAACTCTTACTGTTTGCTGATGAACTGACCTGCCCTCCTCCCAAACCCTGTCCTCAGCCAGATTGTTTTCAGCGGTTGATAAAACACGAGTCAAGGAAATTTTTTTTTTTTGACTTTTTTTGGTTTGTTTTTAAAGAAACTGCATACATCATCAGAGACAAACAATAATTTAAATACCATGCAGTTTCTGTATGTACAAAACCTAGGCCATAGAGATCCAGTTTAATTTGTATTCTATTTACATTGTCTTCCTCATACAGCCATCATCTGTTAAATTAGAACACAGGAGAGCGCTCCTATACAAAGACAAACTATGTACAGACACCCGGGAAGCAACTGGAAAAAGCAACTGGTTTGGGGATTAACAGACAGATGGGAAGAAAAAGTCATTTAAGGTGACCTCCACCCACTGCTGTGCACAGGGAGAGCCTGACATCCCATTCATCAAAGCACACACCACGATATTCATTCGGCAAATATAAATACACGTTCATAAGCGGGAGAAAAATAAACTCAGGTTTTTATCACATCTACCATCACATTGTTTGGTTTCTCTAATTTGACATAAAGGCTAAAGTTGTTTTAAAAGTTTTACAGGGCTTTAAGGGCCTTTGGAGAGGAATAGATCAGCAATTTTGAAAGAGCAAGTAGGCCGATGGCAGTCCCTTCCGTCACAGATGGTGGGGGGGGCAGGGCGGGGCAATGTCTGATTTCGAGAGGGAAACCTTTCAATTTGAGAAATTTCACATTTTCCTCTCACGCTAATCCAAATGACAAAAGACTCCATTGGGAATGTATCTGCACAAGACCTTTGAGAACTGCCGCTTTTTCAGAAAAGGGATGGATGCATTTTAAACCACCTAGCCCATCTCACCTTTCTTTGTAACATCTTCCAGTTGTCCTAAGAATACAGCAAAAAAGAAATTTGGATAGATTTCTATCAAGACCTCAAGATTTCAGAGAAGGAAAGAGACAGCAGAGGCCCCATCCTGTGGTCTACTGAGGTTGCTGAGCCCCCTACACTGGGCTTGAAGAAGCCCACCTTGATGGTGGGTGAGATCTCAGGGGCATGGAAGGTTCACCCCTAATTCCTGCAACTGACTTCTCAAGAAGGGTGCTCTGCAGGAATGGAAGTGGAGATTGTGTTCCCTGTCCTCTGTGCTCAAAGTGGACTGCGACAACAGGGCACTTCAGGCAGGATCCCTGGGCTGCCGGCTGGCTGCAGGGAAATCGATTTGGGCGTCACGTTCCCAGGGCCTCGGAGGCCCAAGAACCAAAGCCAACAGAGAAGCCGTTGGCCTTTGAAGGAGTCCAGGCCCCGGAAGGAGCTCCCTTAGGCCTCGCTCCTGGGCCCGGAGAAGGCCCGCCCATCACGCCAGGGCCCTGGGAGGCGCACAAGGCCAGCTGGGAGTTACAGGAAGCTCAGCCTCGAACCCTGGCCAGGCAGGCACCCTGCCTGGAACACCTGCCTGCCGCAGAGAAGTCAAACGAAAGAGCCCGACCTCTTTCGTCACACCATTTGCACATTCAAACGTCAGTAAGCCTTTTGGGAAGACTGTGTTTACAGCCACACTAAAGTCCCGACCATGTTTTCCCTGAATAGTACCTTCCCGAGGCAGTTAACTATCCAGACTCAACATTCAGAGAGAAAAGGATCTAGCGGTGGCGCCCCTCCTGGGGCTGGGCAGTGGCGCACTCACTCCAGGGGGAACGAGGAGAGGGGCGACGGCTTGGCAATGGTGAGTGGGCACTGCCTCAAGGACGGCCCTGAGCTCCCCCCAAAACAGGCCCGGCTCCTGGCTCAGTGCTGGCCGGAAATGAAGTGGCCGCCTCGAAGGGTGTGCCTCCCCAGAGTAACGCTTCCCACACGGTTGGGGCTGGGCACTGGCTCCCTCATTTTTGTGAAGGCCAATCTGGCATCTAACTCTCGGGCACGTGTGGAGGGGGGCGAGCCACTGCCTGCAGAGATGGCGGTAACCGGGCGACCACTCCAGAAGGCCAGGCAGCGCTGTGGGACTGAGGGCCCTCCGGGGTCTGTTAGGAAGGAAAACAGAAGAAGCTGCAATGGGCCTCGTTAAGATCACTGTTCGGGTTTGGGGGCTGTCCTCCCTCTCACTGCGCGTCCTATCCTCGGTGTTCGTCTGTCAAAAGAGCATGCCTTCCTGTGGTCCCAAGTGAAGGGGACAGTGAGAGAGACCTCTCCAGCCAGGCTCGCCAGCACCATGAGGGAGAGGAAGGAGTCTCTCCAGACAGAAGCGGGAAGGTACAGCGTGGGCAGGCGTGGCTGGTGTTTGCACAATTCTGGCCCATGCCAAACCCCGAAGCTCCCCCACAGAAACTCTTCAGTGCAAAGAAAGGAGACTAGAAGGCCATCAAGTGGTTATGGAGTACCCGTCCATCAGTGACTGGACAGTCTTTCGGGACTGGGTTCTGGCTTGCATGCATGGGTCCTATACTCAGAGGCCGTTTGTTAACTTCCAGGCCACACAGTCACCGGCCCCAGGGTGCACGGAGAAAAACGAAGAACGTCAGCCAAGCAGTTTCTTACCCCAGCCTTTCTGTCCTCACCAGGGTCCTCACACTCAGACGCACGAATACCATAGGAATACCACGGCAGTGGCCGTGTGCGTAAGATCACCCGTGACATTTGGCTTTTGTGACACAGATGGGTCAGTTCACTTGAACTGAGCAGATGACTGCTTTCCCCTTCTAAACCGGAGCTCCCTAGAAGGCAGCTCAGCTCAGTCTGTGGGGACAGGCTAGGGCTCTGCACCGGCCTTCCACACCTGGAGCCCACACACTCTCGGGACCAACGGTCAACCATAGACTTCCCGAGAAAAGCATCTTCCCTTTTGTTCACTGCATGGATGACGGCTGAAGGGAGAGAAAGGACAGGGGCAACCGAGGATAGGGCTCCCTCTCAGCGTCCTCCTCCGAGCCGACGCCATGCCTAGAGCCAGTGTGTCTGGCCAAGTCTAGAAGGCCCACTCGACCATTTGCTTTGCACAGTCCATTCCAGGCCAAACCCACAGCCTCGGCTTTCTTTGGACCCGGGTGACACATACTTTAGGGGAAGAGGTTCTTCGCTGGGGCCTAAATGAGCCTAAAGGAGGTTGGCCTGCCAGGCCTGGCTGGAGAGGCCGGGGCCCGCTCTGAGCGCCGGGGAGTCTTCCGTCCGGCCCACCGGTGTCGGTATCCGCAGTGGTGCCGTGGCTCTGACCGCCGAGCGGTGACCACCGCGTTTTCGCAGAGAATCCTGATCATGTTTCCTTTTATTTTTCTTCTTCTTTTTTAAAAAAAGGCAGTTCAGAAGATTTACATCATAATGGGGAAGTGAATAAATACCAGCACTTATGGTTCTTATAAATTTATGTTTTGAAGACAGCATAGCACTCAAGAGGAATTTGACTGTTAAGGTCGATGAAACCTAGGAAAACAAATAATTAAATCAGGACCGAGGGGCTATTAAAGGAGCCAGATTCCCCAGTCCGAGCTTTCTGTCCTCAGATGCCCCGTTGCTGACAAGTGCCGGGCTCAATCTGGTTAAACCTCCACCCAAAGGCACATGCCGACAGCACTCCTCCAGTCCTTGAGCCCCACGGGGTTCACCTTTGATTCTGGAGTGGTTTACTCTGGAGCTCCTGGGGGCCCCACTGGTTGGCCCTGCTGGCTCTCAGCCTGGACTCTGCAGCCAGGTGGAGCACCTAGCCTGTGTCTCTGAGTCCAAGCACTACAGAGCTGGTACGTCCTTTCTCTAAAATGGTCACCGATTAGTACGAGTCCTAAGAACTGAGTCGATGACTCCGTCGCTAGCTAGCCATGTGACCTTCTATCAGCCCCTTAAATCTCTCTGTGCTCCAGTCTCCCCAGAGGTGGACATGGAATCACAGGAGCGAACACACCTCGGAAATGCCATGTGGATTTGGTATTTTTGCCCAGGTTTGGCTCGGCCTGACTGGCTATAAACGGTCAATGGTCTTTTCTTCTCAGCCTGAGTTTCCATAAAAACCCACTCTGGTGTTATTGGTGGTCTGGCACTTATCAGGTCTTTCGTTTGGATAATTTAAAAACTAGGCTTTCAGAAGGTCCCCCTTAGCCTGGGCTGTAATGCTCCTTCCCCGCAGGGGAACTTCACACTGACCCTTTACCTTCTCCCCCGCCACACCTGCCACACCACCTGCGACCCGGCGGCAGATGGGAGAGTTCCGTCTGGAAGCAAATATTACAGTGTGGGGGCGGGGGAAGGAAAAAGAACCCCTCAATACACTAACCTTGTTAAATGTCTACTCAATTCATGAACTTCCATTTCAGTGCTTTTAAATTCATTGAGCTCCTTTCGAATGGCAGCCTGGAATGAAGAGAAGCCTGTGAGTATGCGGAAGAGGGAAAAGAGTTTGCCTTTTATTTCCATTTGCTCCGACAAAGCCATATGGCAAAGTACGGAAAATGAACTCTTTCACCGGGAGGGGAAAAAGAAAAATCACCCAGCACCTACTACGAATCCTCGTCCTGCTAAATGTAAATGCAAATGGCTAGAGCTGGCAAACTGTCTGGAGTGTCCCTGTCTTCACGGAGCGCTGCCCGTGAAATGGCAACCTCTCATCTCCCTTCGGTGAACGACCTGAGCTCGCCACAAGCACCGTGATGCCTCAAGATGGATCCTTCTAGAAGGTGTGGGTCAAACTCAACCAAATTAAGGGAATTAATGGTGAGCACCCCCCTCTCATTTATAAAGCCCTCACTCGTTTATACAGCTCTGTTGACTCTGAGGTGATCTAGGTCATCATCAAGGACATGGGCTGCGTGGGAACGGCCTCCTCCTTCCAGCACTGGCCACAGAGAGGAGCTGTGGCCCAGGGGAGGGCCGGGCATCTCGCTGCAGGACTGGAGAGGAGCAAGTGGGACAGAGGTCTGGCCTGGGAGGAAACCTCGCTCCTTCCCTGGGGGCTGAAATTCTTTAGGTGGGATCAGCGGGGCTCCCCCCTGAGAAGGCAGGTGCCCAGTGTGCCTGTTTACCAGCCTCGGTTATCACTTCCTGTTCCTCTGCCGGAGCAGCCTGTGTGGAACTAGAGTTCCCTCCCTGCTGCTACGCACAACTTGAGCAAGCGCGTGTGGAGACACGCTGTACTTTCCCTCGGCTTCAGCTGATCCCCTCATCCTTGCTCAGCACATCGCAGTCAGCCTGCGAACAAAAGGGCCAAGGCCCCTTCCTCCGTCCCTGTTTATGTGACATAACTGCCGGGTGTGTGCGTGTGCGCACGTGTGCGCCTAGTGGGGCCATCCCTGGGGTCACTCCCCACAGGCGCCTACGCAGGGAAGAGAGGAGTGCTATGTTTAAAAGGAGGGCAGAGGCTTCCACTCATCAGGACCTGTGTGGTGGACCCACACTGTGGCAAGCACTTCGGGAACGTCGGTCTGCCTCCGGTCCCATCATTCCCACCCACGTATAGCAGCTTCCCTGCGTTCACGCTCCCTGCGATTGGTCGGGCCAGAGTCTCGCTGCAGAGGTCCTTGCCACTTATAAAAGTGGTTTTTCTCAGAAAGCCACCGGCCCTGGGAGTTCATGGGGCAAAGGCAGGCCTCTTCAAGAGAAGGCCCCCAGTGTCTCCCCAGTGTCACTTGCACGTTGGACGTAGTCATTAATTTAGACCTTTTTTTTTTTTAAAGGCCCTTAGCTCTCCCAGTCCCTCATGATGACTGGACTAGAGTCACAAAGGATTACGAAGTAGAGTTCGTTTTGATACATGGTCTGGTGGACAGTAAGAATTAGGTCTCTCTCCCAGCGGGGAGCCCAATGCGGGGCCCGAACCCACGACCCCGAGATCAAGACCTGAGCTGAGATCAAGAATCAGATGCCCAACTGACCGAGCCACCCAGATGCCCCAGAATGATGCATCTTTTGCCTCCCATCTTTCGCCTCATTTCCTATAGAACGAACTCAACTTCCGATTATTCTGTTTTCCAAATGGATGAGGGGTTAGCGAAGGGAGGCAGGTTTTACGGTCTCTCTGATCTCTGTCCCGTTTCTCCCATCAGGTTATGATACCCGCAGACACAGTGAGTTTGTCTCTTTTGGGTTGGGGGACTCCTCCCAGGTGCTGAGGACAGCGTCCTCTTCCCTGAAAGTCTGCGCGGAGCATGGAGCCTGGCGCTCGTGAGCCGCTCTGTGCCCGCCTGGGCGCTCTTCTGTTCCTCTGGGCCCAGCCTCCCTCGCAGCCTTTCCTCCTGCCGCATGTCGCATGGTATTATGTGACTGTCTTGCGCCCTCTCGAGGGCAGCGCAGCGCCAGCTCAGTGAGCCCTGGTGGAGGGAGTGGGGCAAGCAGCGCCCTCGGCAGGCCCCGGCCACCCAGCACCCTCTTAGGGACACGGTGACCACGGCTTTGATGCTGCTATGGCTACTGGCTACGGGCTCCAAACTGAGGCATGAGGCCCCCCCCCCCGCCCCTCTGCTTACTTTGTCGGCCGCCGTGAGGCGGGTCCACGGCTTGTCGGCCCTGCGGTCGTAATCCTGAGCATCAGCCACCTCCACGTAGTCGCTGAAACGGATGAGGATCTTCCTTTCTCTAAGTTCTTCCACCGTGGGTCTTTGGCTGAGCTGCAGAGAAGGAAAAAGACGGACCCATCAGCCAAAGGAGTTCAGGTGGCCTGGTTGGTTTGCGCACTTACAGGAGAAGATGAGAGGCCACCAACACATCCCACAGTGAGTGTGGGACGTGGCCCCGGCTGGGGAACTAGGGCTTCTGACGCCTGGGCCTGCACCTTTTCCAGGGCTCCGAGAGAGACAGAGCTTTATTATCCCCGGAACTCCCTACCGGCTTATCCAGACAGCCAGCCAGGCTGTCTCTTCCTTAACGAAAGGGTAGCGCCTCCTCACAAGCAGCTCGGACTCCTGTGGGCGCGGACCTTCCCACACCTGTGCCACTTGTCCCAGCAGGTGACTGGCCCCTAACACTGTGCTGATGTCTCATTTTGGTTTTGTAAGTCCACGACCATATGTCAAAATGGGCGCACTCTGCAGGATGGGCTTGTAAATCATCTTACGTGTGTGTGTGTGTGTGTGTGTGTGTGTTTTAGACACAAAAGGTGTATATGCAAAAACATGCAAATTCAGGGGTATGCAGCAATGATCTAGGAGGTCCGAGGGGACCCTGCTCCTCAAGAAGTTCAAAGAAAAAGCCAGTCCACACTTGCAGAGTGAGGCTGGGTTTGTGCCAGGGAAGCGGGGTGGGGGAGGGGACAGACCCACGGGATGGGTCTTCGGGGAGGGGGTGAGTTCCTAGTGACTTCACTGCCTCCCTGTCCTAGTCACTAGCACCCTTACTTTGCACTTGAACAGCACAAGGCTGATGTTTTTATTAGCATTTCCTGCCACTAAGTTGACTTCTTCTGGAGCAACACTGTCACTCTTTCCTTAGGAGGCTGTCCATTGAGGTTTAAGCTGATGTTATTGAAAAGCAATTTTTCCTCTAAGCCCGGGACCATTTACTTCTATTAACAGAAAATGCAGTCAGATACAATCTTACTGCAAAGGCCTATAAACCGCCCCCCCCGACGGGAACCCGAAGCACCCTGGCTGTTCTCTGTTTCCTGGCTGCTCCGGAGGGCCCTGGCGTGCTGCTAGCTGGCCGACGGTGGACATGCCCAGTCGGAGGACTGCCCGTTGGCAATGGGCAGAATGGAGCCAAGACTGCGAGGCTCCAGGTAAGAGCAGAGCCTACTCGCCTGGACAGCGGGTAGCTCCCCGTCAAAGTGGTTCCAGTCTGTGCTGAGGCAGCCCTGACCTTCCCCGGGACGGGGCCTTCCGGCAGCAGTGCGAGCTTGTCGCCGGAAACCACAGGTCCCCCAGGCTTTATGGGTTGCTGTGAACAACAGTGGCAGCCTGTCCTGACTCGAAAACATGTTCTCTAAAATGCGAGTTCAGGGAGCTTTTGCACTGTCATGAAAGTACATACAGACACTGTTTCCGTATTCTCCCCGCTACATAAGGACTCCCACTCAAAATCCCTTGTATTTCTTAGGACTGGCAAAATTTACCGCGGGGCGCTGGACAAACTTAATTTCTAATTCACCACGACCAGAACAAGGCTAAGCATGGAATTTCTAGTGGTCATTTCTAGAAATCATGATCTGGATATTTTACTAAAAGACTTGACGGCAGAGAGTCCGGAGTGAACAGGAAATGAAATGTTAGATCTAAAGGTCAGGGACTATTTTTCATGCCTGAATCCCATGGAGACTCTAGACAGCATCTCTCCAAATCAATAGGGCGCTGCACCCAAGTGCTCTGAGGGAGGGAATGAGGAGGGCACCAGCTTCAGGATGCTCCCCTGTGGGCACAGGCTCATGCCCCTGGCTCCTTGGTGCCCAGAGGGGCCTCTGGCTGGTGGCTGATGTAGCTCTTGGGGCACATGAACTTGGGGTCCCTCCTCAGAGGGTGAGGAAATCATCTTTGTGGCCAAAGTCCGGTTTCTGGGGATGGTGGGCTGGCAGAAGGGGTTGGCAGCCTTACATTTCAATCTATGGCAGAAATATCACTTGCAACCAGACACTGAAGAGTAAATTACTTGAGACCCAAATCCCACTATTAATACAACTTGACTCAGGTGCATGTCCCTTCCTCCCCTCCGCCTTTCCCTCCCTCCTTCCTTCTTGCCATCCATCCATGTAGCTAGCTAGCATTTTTTGTTTTTTTGAAAGGGGGAGCATGTCATTTTTGGGTTAGTCTCAATTTGGCTGAAGTAAAAGACTGGTCAGTTGCTGTCAGCATCAGCTCCTGGGGTTCATTTTTCTCACTGGTACCTTAACGTTAAATGGAACCCTATTGAGGAAATCCTCGGGCTGTGGGTAACTGGAAACCACCACTGGCATCTGGTCCCGCTGCGCTCAAGGCTCCAGGGGGAAAGAACCTGCCCAGGGCCCGGAGGCCCCACGGAATCCCCACCTGCTGGCAGGCTCCCGTCTCCCGTCTCCGTTGGCAAAAACAGAGGTGAAAGCTCCTTTCAGCTTTTCCCTTAAAAACAGTTCTCCCTTCCCTTAAACTCCTTTTTCTCCATTCCCCAAGCCTGTCCCAGGGAGGGCAGGTGAAATTCTCAGGCAGTTTTCCTGCCGGGAAGGAAGAGGAGCCAGTTCTCCTGTCCTGGAGCCCCCGCCAAAACGAGGGGCTATCTGGGGGCCCCCAACCCCAGCTGCCCCCACCCTCGGGGAGGTGGGTGGGCAGGGAACCCCGTTCCCTTGCCCTGCTGCCAACTGATGCCGTTAGCTGGGTTTCTGTAAGAAGGAAACGTATGCTTCAATATTTTCCTATTACGAGTTTTTAGCAAGAAACCCCTCAAGTTTAGGAGAATTTCTGGGCCCAGCAATCAACCCCAATGAACCTGATGAAAATTCGATTTAGGTTTTTTTTTCTGAATGTCTAGACCTTTCTGTGTCAGGAAGGACGGGTTATCACCAGCCTCCTCTGGATAGCCTGGTCATTTCAAGGACACACTTAAAACAAGCTAGCGCCTCTTCCTCAGGCCCCCTCACTACTTAGGCTCGGGAAGAGGGGGATGCCCTGCGCCCAAAGACCGGGTGCTCTGAGGGACTTAGAGGATCAAACCATGACTTGGGTGGGGCACCGGGATGAAGTGAGGTCACTCAGCTCTCGTTCGGGAGGTCCCCACCAGGGGGACGCCCGCCCATCATCTGGCCCTGCAGGCACCTGCTTATCCTACTCCTTATAACTGGGGCGACACTTGGCTTGTCACCAGATGCTTGCGATGCTCCATGGAGAGCAGGTCCAAGAGACACAAATCATCACCCTAATAATTGGTATGGTGTTTTAGGATCTCTGAATTTCTTCCTTTATATAATATTTCTAGGGAAAAAAATCCATTAGTAAACCTTTAAAAATTAATTTTAACAGGTCTCTTAACCGTCTCTAAGATTTGAGTATCTTTCTCTTAAGATGGTCACTGTAGGAAGTTGATTAAAAACATTTTAGTCAGACAGAATATGGTATTATTTCTTGTGTACTATCAATTAATTAAACTTGTCATCGTCATCCAAGAATAGCCTCAAAGAAGAGTCCGTTATTAGGCCACTCATATAGAATTAGATCCATTTGGGTCTAGTCTGCACTGCCAAGCCGTCTATTTTTGGGGTTAAAATACATAAAAATTCCAGCTTTATGACTTTAAGTGCTTTTCAAACACCTTCAGTAAAGTTATCAGTATTTTTGGCATTTGCCTCATCAGTAATTCAAATTGGATCTGGCATAATACAGTCCGTTACTTCTCAGTTAATAGGTACGGAATAGTATCAGAAGACACAAGGGAAACTCTCAGGGTCACAGCCCAGAACGGCGTTACATTTGAACTACTGATTTTGGCAATGAATTTCCAAAGCTTGGTGAGGTGAATTTTTAGTGAATTTGGTGAATATTTAAAAAAACATTCACTGTGATTGAAAATATAATGCACCTGCCATCAAGTTGCTTGGGGGTGTGTGTGTGTCACAAAATCAGGCGACAGAACGTCACCAGCCAGAAGGCTGATACTGAGCCGACCACCGTCCCCGGGAGAGGTCCTACTGAGCCCAGAGCCGCTGGCTCTCACGCCCGAGGAGCAGGACCACTGAGGGAGCTGCCCGGCGCCGCCGCCCTCCTGTCCCAGCTCCCACCTGGAGAAGCCACTCACCTTTCGAGTTAACCTCCTCTTGATCTCTCTCTTCTCCTCTTGTTCTTCCTGTTCATTCCGAGCTGCAAGAAACGGTGAAGATGCTTTTGATTCTGGGAAACAGTGTCACACACAGGTGTATCCTCTGAACATCTGCAGGCTCCAGGCCGAGCCCCTCACCGCTTGAGAAAGGCGGCAGCGAGCTCCTGTCCTCGGCCCCGGCCACCCTCCGGCCTGCCTGTGGGATGCTCTCCCAACAGCCCGCACGGCTTCAAACGGATGGTGAGCTGGCTGGCCTTCTCACTTTGCTTTCTTTATGCCACATGGGGGGTTTCAAGTCTCCAGGCAGAAATGCTGGGCTGAGAAGTGTGGCTTCAAGGCAAGGAGGTAGGTCCTACACGCGTGGGGGTGCTGTTTGCCCGGAGGCGGGCATCGGGGGAGAGGTGAGGCTCCCTGCTTGGGACAAGGCCTGTGCCCGCTCAACTCTGCCTCGGGCCTCCCAGCGACGGCCGGCGGGGGGAATGGTGCTCGCTGTGATGTGGCCTCGTGTCTGGTGCTCTGTGGGGACAGGAAAGGAGGCTGGCCCGCAGGGGTGCCGGCCACGTGCTACAGAAACAGCACGGCTAACGCCAAATGCAGCCCCGGCTGCACGGAGGAATTCCAAAACGCTCACCTTTCGCAAGCCCTGATTCCATTAATTCTTTGAATCTTCCAAGAAGTCCACAGAGCAGGTGGGAGGCCAGAGTGTGGGACACAATTGCCTGCATTTAGACTTTTTAAGGAGTGTCTCAGGAGAGAAGACTTCGGAGTCTAAACGTTCTCAGCTTAGTATGTGGGCTGACTTACTCATCAGATGTTTAAAGAGCCATATAAGAGGGTCTGGGGAATGGAGCAGAGATATGGAGGGCAGAGAGTGTGGGCTTATTTCTCCTTGTAAGCAAAGCGGTCAACCGTGGGCACAAAGTCACTTTCCTCCTGGGCTCAGAGACGGAGGCACGGGTCTAAGCCTAATACCGTCTATCAAACCGTGTCAGAGAGGGCCTCTGCTTCTCGGCCCCTGACTTTAGAAGGGCATTAGTGAAAGCAACCTCCTTCGGGGTGGTCTTCAGACCACCCTGGGCACTTGTTCTCTCATTTTGAAATCCCTGTTGTTGAATTTTGTTTCATAACTCATCAAAGCAGCGCACCCTTGCAATTCAGTCGTCTCAGGACAGGACGGGTCTTTAAAAGAGGGAAGCCCCTGTGCACAGAAGCGGGTCCCCCCAGTTCCTCCTTGCCAGCCCGGCAGCAGCCACCACAGCCGGAGGCACGCTGAAGGTGGCCACACTTCCCACTGGGAAGGACAATGGCAGGGTAGAGCTGAGCAACATCCCCAGGGGCACAGTTTGACTGCTGTGACTGTGGGGGGGGCATTCAGGACCTTGTTCAGGGTCACCAGAGGACCCCAGTGCAGCATGCCCCCCAGGGGCCCCACTCCCATATAAGAGAGAGAGCTCCTTCCTCTGGACTTAAAGATCTTATCTCCCCCCCAGAGTTCCCTTTAAAAATGCAAGTTTCTCTTGGATAAAAACTCCCCAAACTAGCCAGCCATTAACATCTTAGTATGAACCAATCGATCAGAGATAAATTGGGAGGCAGAAAGCAAGAAGGGACACGGCAAACAGGTGCCGTCTGCAGGGGGCCAGTGGGATGACAGTCTGTGGAGAGTGAGGACCCAGGGGGTGGCTCCAGGGCTCTTGGTTAAAATGTACAGGCTCACAGGATGGTAGGGCTGCGGGGGGCCCAAGGAACCGCCAAGTCTAAATGTAAATGAGGATGGAAAAGCTGAGGGCGTGAAGTGGCTCGTCACATGCCACAACGCTACACGGCTAATTCGGCAGACAGCCAGCCCAGCTTTTTTGCTTGCTAGGATAAGCGACCCCCTCCCCACCCCACGCCCCCCCGCCCCGCGGCATGTTTTGTGTGGGGCCGGCCCCTCCTCCTCTTTCCTGGTTGGGGCCTCCTCAACCCACAAGCCCCCTCCGAGCCAGGACCCTGCATGGAGCTGTCCTCTCCTGTTTCTAGGGCCCCCTGAGGGGCGAGGGTCACACGCGACTGCCTCTGGAATCTATACCTTTAGTTCAAAGCCATTTACAAACCCAGGGCCATGAATTCTTGGGCTGAGGGTACCAAGACAGCCCCGTTAGGCAACTGGGAAGAGAGGCCAGGAGCGGGCCGTGATGTCATCATGTGCTCACCGTCAGAGTGTGCTCATTATGTGCTCAAATGTGCCCAGTGTCTCATTGGCTGCTGGACAAAGCCAGCGCTGGCCCCGGGGGCTGGCAGGGTGGGGCCGGAAGGCGGCCTCAGACCCTCCAGGCCCCCCCCCACCCCGCGGAGCCGTGGCATCCGTGTCCCCAGCACCCTCACACAGATGGTTCCCCCAGTGACCGAAAGACCAGAGAGCCAGGCTCAGCATAATTTGCGTGAGGGTGTTTTCTCATACCATGAAAAGCTTCTTGTTCCACAGAAGGGAGATGGGAAAAAAAAAAAATTCTTAGGAAAACAAAGTTCCAGAACGCAGGGAAAAAAAGAAGAGTTAGTGGAAATAGGGAAATAGACGTTCATTTCTGAAAAGTTTCAAAACTGCAACGATCACCCTGTTTGAACTTGGTCAGGCAGTTCTTTAATTTGGCCATTTGAACGGGGTAAGAAGGAAGAGGGACTAGAACCAAAGGGAACCCTGGGAACAATGTTTTAATGTCACCACTTGGGTTGCCTGAACCTAAGCCCCTTAGGCTTCCTAGATGCGAGTAACCACCTCTGAGATCTGGGTCTCTTTCCAGATGGCAAGAAAAACCCACCGTGTGGGCCCTGCCCGTGGTCTCCCAGGGAGCTGGGCATGCAGCAGGCGGGAGCTGGACCTCCTCGTTCCCAAACCCGAGCCCTTGCTGAGAGAAGCAGTATTTTCTGGCAACTTGAACAGTCCCTTAGAGAGTGGAAGCCCCTGTGGGAGCAGGTTGGGGGCCACCAAACACTGTACCGAGATTCCTCCGGAAAATAACAGATCCGTGTTGGGGCTGTGTGTGGGTGAAGAGGCAGAGGGGGAAGGAAGGATGTTTGCCCGATTTCCCACTTCCAGAATAAACGGACACCTGTTTTTCTTTCCAACAACGGAAAGGTTATAATGGATCAGGTATCAGATTGGGGCAGAAAAGGAGGCCAAATGCTTCCCCGACCGTGGAAATCATCTGAAAAAGTTCTCATTCCTTTTATAGCATATGAAGCTTTGAAACTGCTAAGGGCACCTTGTGGTTAGAAAAAATATATATACACACATTCCTAGAGACCTAGGAATTACGTGAGGTGCAGCCAACACCGAGGAAGGCCGGTCCTGAAAATCACGCCCTCTGAGAGCTGGGGAGGAGGCAGCCGGCCCGGAGCAGGGAGGCCGGAGGTGGACGGAGGCCCGCCTCACGGGGACGGGTGCCCTGCTGGGGCTGTGGGCCACCCCCCTCCTCGCAGCCCTCCCCAGGGGAAATTCAGCAGCCCACGCTCAGCAAGCAATTCAAAACCAACCAAGTCCCAAGACAGCAGTGGGGAGGAAAAGAAAAGGAAGATCAAGAACCTTTTAGTTTGGTCTAAGTGGAAATACCCAGCCACTCAGACTGAGGCTTCATGTGATCGCGCGTGTGTGCGCGTGTGTTTGTGCGTGTGCACATGCATGTGTGCACGCGGCCTGGCATTCCTAGGAAACTCTGCATGGCATGTGTCTCTCTTTTCTAGAGAGAACTTAGAAGCGGATGTGTGCGGGGAGGGTCATGAATTAAACTAAAAATACTATTTGTTGACTGTCTCGGGGAGAGTGTTGGTGAGAGTCGTAATGATGATGGGGCAGACGTGTGCAGGAGGTTTCGTTTTCTAAATTATTTAATATCTCCCACCACATGGAGGAATCCTGGTGTCCCTGAGATGCTTGTTTATTGTAGTTTTATGTTGGTGAGGCACCAAGGGGATTCCTTCTCTCTATTCAAGTATCTCTGCGTCCTGAACCAAACACACAAGGGACTCGTTCATTTTCTCTCCCCACGGCCAGAGTGACGGCGAGTCTCTCTTGGCAGAGAGAGAGACTTCGGCCAGCCTGCCTTGGGCTAGCGGCAGGAGTCCTGAGAGATGGACGTGAAGCATCCTCACTTGGAAGCGCTCTCCTAGACTTTACATCTAATTTTCGAAGGCAGGGCGGGGCATATATCAACAGCATGCAGCTGCCGTGAAAAGTCACGGTTTCCAGCCCCAGTTTGCAAACGGCCGTCTACCTTATTTTAGCCATCGAGACAGTATTTGTGGTTTCTAAGTCAGTTTTGGTTTGAGGGTGACCCGAGTGCTGCTCAGAATCACTTGAGTGAGTCCCCTGGCTCTAGCAGCACAGCTTCTCTGGCTTCACCACCCACCAACGGGAAGGTGGTTCTTGCCGTCTGCGAGCGTCCAACAAGCTGAGCGGACTCGGGTTTGCCCCCTCTGCCAGGGAGGCTGCTTGGGATGTTCTAACACACCAGGATGGAGCGCCGACCATCCGTCATTTCCACACAGGCACAAGGGAGGAAGCCTGTGGCCCACACACTGAACAAGAGCCAAAGCCACCACAAGGCCGCAGCGACGGCCGCAGGCGGAGTCACTTACGTTTTAGAATGTTCCTCTGCTCCAGCTCCTCCGCCGTCGGCCTCTGGCTCAGCCGCCTGCGGAAAAGATCCAGGAAAAGTTTTTGGACCATATCATAGCCTCCTTGGGTCATTAATCTCCCCAGCCCTCGTAGGTGCATGAGATGGAGCGAGAGGCTGGAGCTCCTGTCCCATCCTGTGCTATGCGAGACGGACTCCGACCACCACTGCCTCCTCAGTTCCTCAATTTCAACCCCAGGAAAGGCACCCTGCGTCACGTCACGCCAAGCTGACCCTCCTCCTTCCTCCCATCCTCCGCCCCTCCCCAGCCCTGCTCCGCCGGGGCCTCCGGGCCAGTGGACGCTTCTCGTCACAGAGGCCCCTTTCTTTCATGTGGCCTCCTCGCTTCAGGACACTGGCCTCTACCCGCCCCCCCCACCCCTGCGCCCCCAGGGCGAGAGCTCGCTTCTTGCCATGTTTGTGCAGATCCAGTTAGGACAGAAAGAGGCTCATGGCCCCGGGGAGACGCAAGACAGCATGTCCTGTCTGTGAAGAACAATAGATACTCTTCTTGTCCCCACCCATCCCCACCAGAGCCGCCTTAGACGGGGAAGGACAAAGGAGCAGGAACTGCAATGCCTCTCCTAGTGCTGGCACGTAATGGGGCCCTAACCAGTGTGACATGGTAGCAGGGGCGTCAACTGGTCGTGATGCAACAGCGGGGGGGGGGCAGGGACGGACGATGTTGGATGGTGGCCCCGCATCCTGAGAGGTCACCGGAGACTGGGAAGGGCCCCGCGGAGAAGTGCAAGCTGGTGTGGGCGGATAAAGCACCAGGGATGAGCAACACAAACAGTGGGGCCCCGGATTCACAGAGACGTTTTTGTATTTTTGAAGCTCCTGGCAATTATTTAATGACCCTGCAAAGTTGAGCATCCTGCTCCCCACCATGGGAGGAGGCGTGTGCGAGAGGAGACAGTTGTGGAAGGAGTCGCGGGCGGCTCGGCGGCCTGCGCTGGGACCTAAGGGGCGCTCCCCCAGGAGTAAAGGATGTGTTTCCTCCCCGGGTATCGGCACCTGTATCTCCAGGTGGCAAGGCGTCACACCGTGGGATCTCAGGAGAGACCCGGAGTGAAAACAGAAAGTCCATGGAGTTACTGAGTGCAAAGAGTTGACATTGAACGCTTCTTGTCACCTGCAATTTCTCCTCATTGCCCTGGATTCTGAGAGACCCAATGGCATCACCACTGATGCTCTAGGGAGGGCACGGAAGGATTTCCGGTCAGATACCGGTCGGTAAAATCTACAGTACCCTGGAATCGGCTGGAAATTGTATTCTGAAGTGTTGTTCAGTTTATAAGCACACTGTCATGTTTGTTAGTCATTTGTTCTTCCAAATGTCCCATGAAGACACTATTTCTTCCCATTGACCAGGGCCCGCTGTATATTTGGAACTTTGCAATATTGGAGACTCTAAATTGGGACTCTGGAGTCTCGAAGTCTTTCCTAAAATAGCACTCTCAGACCTCGGGAGGAAACTGTGTCATTGGTCTGGAATGCAGACTCTGCTCAGAATGAGCTGCATGGAGGCTCTGCCTCACCTTTCCATTTATCTTTCCCCAGAATCCTCACTTCGTTTGTAGGGATGGGCAGCCAGCTTTAGGGGGCCCCTTGGCGGAACCCAGGCTCTGGATGCCGCTGGGGCTGTAGGTCAGCAGGTTTTGAATAAGCTCCTGATTCAAGGTGGAGCTTGCATCCCAGAAGTCTTATGCCCAGAAGCAACTGCAGAATGTTCCCCCACTGGCTTGTGCTGAGAAGCCCACTGATTCTGTTGCCAGACCCATCGCCTGGTTCTGCGCTGGCTTTTTCGTTTTTGTTTTATCTCATGGGTCACTTTGGAGGCGACAAAAGGACAAGAGACTGACTACACGCACAGCAAATTCTGTTTGCTGGGCACCCTGAGAGTCAAAGACATGTGCCTTCAAGTGAGGCCCCCCGTTTATGTTTCATTTCTCCTAAGAGAGTCTGAGAACATTGAGGCCACTCACAGCGATCAAACGGAGCTAAGCCCTCCCCATGGACACGTGCAGTAGTGAGGTGTTTTGGCTTTGAAAATGAGATCGGGTAGGAAAATCATACTCTGGCATCGTGATGACAAAGCACAAACAGCTCAGGAGTTAGGGGATCTGGGTTCTAGTTCTGGCTCCGCTCTGAACCTACTTTCCGTGGACAAGGTATTGGACTCCACTGCAAATAATAACTAGTAATTTAACGGCTAAGGCTGACGTCGTCCCTGTCTCGTGCAGGCATGGTTCTTAGAAACAGCTGCTATATACTCGGCCACATCCAAATGTGAATTCATTTATGGGGCGTGAGTGGGGGGTGGGGGGGATAGGAAAATACATAAAATATAAATAAAATACGTAATAAAATATTTAAATAAGCTCGTTTGTTCATTTTACAAATTACTGGTTGAAGGCCAGCTCCGTGCCGGGTTCTGGTTTGGGCACTTGGATGAGTAAAAGAACGGATCAAGGTCCTGCCTCTGGGGGAGGCAGTCATTGATCAGGTCGTCACGGAAGTATGAAATGTAACCGTAGTAACAGGCTGCCAACGGGAGGCACCTGGGCAGGGATTCTGACCAAATTAGGTCAGGAGAGGGGTCCCAGGGGAAGGGACACGGTGTCCCGATGGGAAGGATGGATGGACGGAGCCATGGTGCTAGAGTGGAGATAGCGAGGGGAAGAAGGAAGGTGGGGAACAGGCAGGGGCCAGGCCGCGTGGCCCACGGGGCGAGAGGGCAGGACAACACCCATTTCGCATCCCAGAAGCGAGGTGGGAAGATGGGTACCACCGGCCCAGGGTGCCAAGTACTGCCGAGAGGTCAGGCGAGCCTGGCAAACGGCCCACGGGGATCAACACCAGCTGGGCTTGCAGCAACCTCGCCTAGAGCTCTGCCAGGGGGCGCAGGGAAGGGAAGCCAGACAGGAGCGAGTTGAGAACGGAGGTGAGAAAATGGACAAGTATGCACGATTCTTCCCGAAGCTTGGCTGGATGAGAGAGTTGCAGGTGAAGGGGGCTCTGGCGAGGTTTATACTTTTTACTGGGAGAAGACTGGGTGCGTTTAATGGAAAGAATCCGGATGAGGTGGTGGCGGCGGGAAACTATGTGAGGAGGGAGGAGGCTCAGCTGATGGTGCAGGAGTCCTGAGGAGGCAGGAGGGGTTGGGGTGCAGGGACAGAGAGGCCTTCCTCCTCAAAAGCAGGAGGAGGGATGGCTCTTGACCGTGACAGGGGAAGCAGGATGGTGTGTGTAGGTTTGGTACTGGAATTAATGAAGAGTTCCCAACTGATGGCTTGCAGTTACTATAACACAAGTAATTTGGTTTATCACAAGGATGACTTCTATCAGCTTAAAATAATACCTTTCCTTGACAGGCTGGTCTTTAGATGGAGCCAAATTCATAAACTAAAAGGATAAAGCTCTAGCTTCAGAATTCTAGTGGCTAGCTTCTTAGGGAAGGACCCAGAGCAGCCTGACATGGTCCAAGTAAAGGCTTCTTTCTAGATCTACTTGTACAGAAATACTGATCACTGGAAAGCCAGATAGCAGAGCACAATTACTGTATTAATGAAATGGGCAGTTTTATGAATAATCCCAAAGAGCAGATAACTCCAAGAATAAAGACAGAGATGCTTTCTGAGTGTATTGTATCTTTTACCCCTGTCTTGACGGTACGTTTAAGTCACTGTATCAGACTTAAACTCACATTAAATGTAAAAAGTGCTTCCTGACTCTGTATGTAGACATGACCATTTATATGCTATATGATAAAGGCAACATTTTTGGGAGTTAAACTTTTCTGTAAAATAAATGATCCAAAAGTAGGAGTTTTAATGTGCTCTCAAGTGATCTATTCAAATAGGTTTGCTGTTATATATGTGGCCCTGGTTTATTAGGTTATCTCTGAGCTGCAAAATTGTTGTCACTCCTCAAATGGTTTCTTCTTTACATGACCACCGCTAAATGATCTGCATCGGCTGCAAAGTGAAAAATCACCGAGCTCCTGTTTAAATGCCACGCGCCATCAATCACCACCTAGGAGGCTTCCAGGTTCTTGCAGAATTTAGAAATGGATTTTGTGTAGTATCAGTTTGAACAACTATGCTGGTAACCGCAAGAAACAACCACATAAACTAAGGCTTTTCTTTTTCCAAGCAAGGACCATGACAGACAAACAGGCCAGAAGCAAATGGTACTTTGGCTTTGGCCTCGGAAAAAAGAGACCGTGAGAGAATGTGGTGGCAAGACGCTTTAGACAGCACGCAGAGCAGGGAGGCTGTATCCCCAGAGATGTGACAAAAAAAACGCTGAAGGTCTGGCTGGTCTGACTCCTGAAGCTGATGAGGAGGATTCCTTCTGCTGCAAGGAGCGAATGAACCTTCTGCTGGTGTCAGAACTGCAAGGTCATGGCTTTCATTTGCATTTGCAACTGCATATTGTTTGGAGGGCCCTGATTTTAAAGTTTGGATCTCTGAAAGCTGTATCTGCATTTCAGGAGAAAGCAAAGCAGAATTGAGGTTGGTCTTCTGCATTTCAGCCCCAGGGGGAGGGAACGGCCCTTCCTGAGGGGAAAAGAAAATGGGAAGGACTTGTCCTCTCTCCTAAGGCAGGAGGAGACGGGTTTCCCAACTGCTGCTCCGGATGGGAAAGGGTGCAGATGGGCCTGGTGGGGCCACGGGGAGGGGAGACGCACTGAGTTGCGACCCCTCCTTTGGAATCTTTCTGGAGAACGTGTCGGTTGCATGCGTTTGTGTGTGGCCTTGGTCACTGCTACATCGCCAGGTGTTAGAAGGCCACGGAGGTGTTTTTTATTTTTAAAAATATTTTATTTATCTATTTGTCAGAGAGAGAGAGAGCACACAAGGAGGGGGAGTTGCAGAGGCAGAGGGAGAAGCAGGTTCCCCGCGGAGCAGGGATCCCGATATGGGACTTGACCCCAGGACCCTGGGACCATGACCTGAGCCGAAGGCAGATGCTTAACGACTGAGCCACCCAGATGCCCCCAAAACAGGTGC